GGGGGGAAAATTCCTGATTATTGTAAAATGAGTCTCTTTTATCTTGAAAATTTGCCCCTTTAATTTTCAGAAATTGAGTTTTCCTTTTTCTTGGGCCCCAGGATTTCCCCTGTTATCTCACAGGTGAGGCTCCCCCCATATCTCGGAAGGTGAGCTCCCCTATTCTCGCAGGTGAAGCTCCTTATCTTTCGCAAGGATTGAGCTTCTTATTTTGGGGAAAGGAAAGGCTCTCTTCTCGGCACGGGGTAGTGGCTCCCCCCATTCTCGGGGGCAGGATAGCTCCTTAATCTTGGGCCAGTAAAGGCTCCCCCTCCGGGGCGGGACGGTTTTCCCCTAATCTTGGGCAGGAATGGCTCCTGATATCTTGTGGTAGGAATGCGCTAATCATATCTCTGGGCAGGAATGAAGCTCCTGATATCTTGTGGCAGAATGGAGCTCCTCATAATCTCAGGGCAGGAATGAGCCCTCCTCATAACTGTGGGGCAGGAATGAGCGCCTGATATCTTGGGGCAGGAATGAGCCCTTGATATCTTTGGTGGCAGGAATGAGCTTCTGATAATCTCGGGGCAGGAATTAGCTCCTCAAATCTCAGAGAAGGAATGAGCTCCTGATATCCTCGGGCAGGAATGAAGCTCCTGATCTCTCAGGGCAAGGAATGAGCTCCAGATATCTCCGGGGCAGGAATGAGCTTCTGATATCTTGGGGCAGGAATGAGCTCCTCATATCTCGAGGCAGGAAATGAGCTCCTGAATCTCGGGGCATGAATGAAGCTCCTGATACTCGGGCAGGAATGGAGCACCTCATATCTCTGGGCAGGAATGAGCTCCTTAAGATCTTGGGGCAGGATGAAGCTCCTGTATGTTCTCGGGGCAGAAATGAAGCTCCATCTTGTGGCAGGAATGAGCTAATCAAATCTTGGGGCAGGAATGAGATCCTGATATCTTGGTGCAGGAATGAGCTCCTCATATCTTGGGGCAGGAATGAGCTCCTGATATCTTGGGGCAGGAATGAGCTCCTGATATCTTGGGGCAGGAATGAGCTTCTGATATCTCAGGGCAGGAATGAGCTCCTCATATCTCAGAGAAGGAATGAGCTCCTGATATCTCGGGGCAGGAATGAGCTCCTGATATCTCGGGGCAGGAATGAGCTTCTGATATCTTGGGGCAGGAATGAGCTCCTCATATCTCGGGGCAGGAATGAGCTCCTCATATCTCGGGGCAGGAATGAGCTCCTTATATCTTGGGGCAGGAATGAGCTCCTCATATCTTGGGGCGGGACTGAGCTAATCATATCTTGGGGCAGGAATGAGCTCCTGATATCTTGTGGCAGGAATGAGCTAATCATATCTTGGGGCAGGAATGAGCTCCTGATATCTTGTGGCAGGAATGAGCTCCTCATATCTCAGGGCAGGAATGAGCTCCTCATATCTTGGGGCAGGAATGAGCTCCTGATATCTTGGGGCAGGAATGAGCTCCTGATATCTTGTGGCAGGAATGAGCTTCTGATATCTCGGGGCAGGAATGAGCTCCTCATATCTCAGAGAAGGAATGAGCTCCTGATATCTCGGGGCAGGAATGAGCTCCTGATATCTCGGGGCAGGAATGAGCTCCTGATATCTCGGGGCAGGAATGAGCTTCTGATATCTTGGGGCAGGAATGAGCTCCTCATATCTCGGGGCAGGAATGAGCTCCTGATGTCTCGGGGCAGGAATGAGCTCTGATGTCTCGGGGCAGGAATGAGCTCCTCATATCTCGGGGCAGGAATGAGCTACTGATGTCTCGGGGGCAGAAATGAGCTCCTGATGTTTCGGGGCAGAAATGAGCTCCTCATATCTTGGGGCAGGAATGATCTCCTCATATCTTGGGGCAGGAATGAGCTCCTCATATCTCGGGGCAGGAATGACCTCCTCATATCTCGGGGCAGGCATGAGCGCCTTATATCTCGGGGCAGGAATGAGCTCCTTATATCTCGGGGCAGGAATGAGCTCCTGATATCTCGGGGCAGGAATGAGCTCCTGATATCTCGGGGCAGGAATGAGCTTCTGATATCTCGGGACAGGAATGAGCTCCTGATATCTTGGGGCAGGAATGAGCTCCTGATATCTTGTGGCAGGAATGAGCTCCTCATATCTTGGGGCAGGACTGAGCTCCTGATATCTCGGGACAGGAATGAGCTCCTGTTATCTTGGGGCAGGAAAGAGATGCTGTTATCTTGGGGCAGCAATGAGCTCCTGATATCTTGGGGCAGCAATGAGCTCCTGATATCTTGGGGCAGGACTGAGCTCCTCATATATCTTAGGGGCAGGAATGAGCTCCTGATATCTCGGGGCAGGAATGAGCTTCTGATATCTCGGGACAGGAATGAGCTCCTGTTATCTTGGGGCAGGAAAGAGATGCTGTTATCTTGGGGCAGGACTGAGCTCCTGATATCTTGGGGCAGGACTGAGCTCCTGATATCTTGGGGCAGGACTGAGCTCCTGATATCTTGGGGCAGGACTGAGCTCCTGATATCTTGGGGCAGGACTGAGCTCCTGATATCTTGGGGCAGGAATGAGCTCCTCATATCTTGGGGCAGGAATGAGCTCCTCATATCTTGGTGCAGGAATGAGCTCCTCATATCTTAGGGCAGGACTGAGCTCCTGATATCTCGGGGCAGGAATGAGCTCCTTATATCTCGGGGCAGGAATGAGCTCCTGATATCTCGGGGCAGGAAAGAGCTCCTGATATCTCAGGGCAGGAATGAGCTCCTTATATCTCGGGGCAGGAATGAGCTTCTGATATCTCGGGGCAGGAATGGGCTCCTCATATCTCGGGGCAGGAATGAGCTCCTCATATCTTGGGGCAGGAATGAGCTCCTGATATCTCGGGGCAGGAATGAGCTCCTCATATCGTGGGGCAGGAATGAGCTCCTGATATCTTGTGGCAGGAATGAGCTCCTCATATATTGGGGCAAGAATGAGCTCCTCATATCTTGGGACAGGACTGAGCTCCTGATATCTCGGGGCAGGAATGAGCTCCTCATATATTGGGGCAGGAATGAGATCCTGATATCTTGGTGCAGGAATGAGCTCCTCATATCTTGGGGCAGGAATGCGATCCTGATATCTTGGTGCAGGAATGAGCTGTAAGAAAATCACTCTTGAGGGGGGAAGGTTCTCCTCACTGATAGTCCTGAGCCAACTGGGTGCCGAAGCCAAGCAGGAGCTCATTCCTGCCCCAAGATATGAGGAGCTCAGTCCTGCCCCAAGATATGAGGAGCTCATTCCTGCCCCAAGATATAGGAGCTCATTCCTGCCCCAAGATATCAGGAGCTGTCCTTCAATGGGAAGCCTGACAATGCACTGACTTCTCCAATAGGGGGAGCCCTACACACCTCTATGTGAAATATAATGATAAAAATACGGAATGTCAAGCAAGAAAACTTGCGGCACTTCCCCTTTAAGGCGGTTTAAAGACAATAAACAATGCGGTCTCCACCTGAATGTTGCCGCGTCTCGATGGAAGAACAAAATCCCGGGATTAGACGTCATCCCGCCTGAAGAGTGCCTAATGGAAGCGTTGCCTGAAGTGGCAAACAATTAACACGTCGCCCGGAGTGTAAACACACATTATGCTGATCGCGTGACGGCCACTTCAGATGTCTTCCTAATATTCGACCGAATAAACACGGCGCCGAATCTCACCTGTTGTTCGTGGAATGCTCTCGGTATGCAGGCGACGCTTGGACGCTGGGCGATGAATTATGCGCATTTCTTTGTTCGGTTTGTTTTCTGGTAATCGTGGAGTCGGGTCAGAAATGAATCGGTCCGGCAATATCCTCATCGTCAGCATATTTCGTGCATCACAATGGCTGCATGCAGAGCAGTCGCTTTCCTGGGTATGGATGGACGACGCTGCAAATAACAGAAACAAAGTTTAATATCTGATACAACTGAATACAGCGCCGCAATGCAAGAACACGCAGAAAACACGTGTGACCGGGCGCTTCCTCCTCCTTCTACAAAGTTACAATGTACAGTCTGATCACTGGGGGAGGGGAGATTGAGGAAATGCTTCCTCCTCCTTCTACAAAGTTACAATGTACAGTCTGATCACTGGGGGAGGGGAGACTGAGGAAATGCTTCCTCCTCCTTCTACAAAGTTACAATGTACAGCCTGATCACTGGGGGAGGGGAGACTGAGGAAATGCCTCCTCCTACCGGCAGCAAACTGATGACTTCATCTCACTAAACTGGAGACCAAGGATGGCTTTTTAATGATAAGAAAATAATTAATCTTTAAAAATATATTTTCCTTTGCATCTCTCACCCCCCATCTAAAGCCCCCCCCCTCTGGAAATGCTGCTGCTGTAAAAGTCAGTGACAGGTCCTCTTTCTGCCAGGACTGCAACACTCCACAATCCATTGTACTTCATGGACTAATTAAGTCTAATTAAATGAAGATTGTCTGATCTCAGCGCCGCGATTAATAAACAAACGGAAATCATTTCTCTTCCTGATAAATCCATTATTACAGCAAATACAACATTGTACTGAAAGGGAAACGTTCCCTGGAAACGGGATTTACCAAAATCTGTAATCCTCCACAGCAAGTGGTCTTCTCCGGCCCAATCGGCTTAAAGTAGAACTCCGGCCTCCCCTCCAGTCTTGCACAGGTGTACCGGCTCCTCCCCTCCAGTCTTGCACAGGTGTACCGGCTCCTCCCCTTCAGGCTTGCACAGTTGTACCGGCTCCTCCCCTTCAATCTTGCACAGGTGTACCGGCTCCTCCCCTTCAGTCTTGCACAGTTGTACCGGCTCCTCCCCTTCAGTCTTGCACAGGTGTACCGGCTCCTCCCCTCCAGTCTTGCACAGGTGTACCGGTTCCTCCCCTTCAGTCTTGCACAGGTGTACCGGCTCCTCCCCTTCAGTCTTGCACAGGTGTACCAGCTCCTCCCCTCCAGTCTTGAACAGGTGTACCGGCTCCTCCCCTCCAGTCTTGCACAGGTGTACCGGCTCCTCCCCTTCAGTCTTGCACAGTTGTACCGGCTCCTCCCCTTCAGTCTTGCACAGGTGTAACAGCTCCTCCCCTTCAGTCTTGCACAGGTGTACCGGGTCCTCCCCTTCAGTTTTGCACAGGTGTATTGGCTCCTCCCCTTCAGTCTTGCACAGGTGTACCGGCTCCTCCCCTTCGGTCTTGCACAGGTGTACCAGCTTCTCCCCTTCAGGCTTGTACAAGTGTACTGGCTCCTCCCCTTCAGTCTTGTACAGGTGTACTGGCTCCTCCCTTTCAGTCTTGCACAGGTGTACCGGCTCCTCTCCTTCAGCCTTGCACAGGTGTACCAGCTCCTCCCCTTCAGGCTTGTACAAGTGTACTGGCTCCTCCCCTTCAGTCTTGTACAGGTGTACTGGCTCCTCCCTTTCAGTCTTGCACAGGTGTACTGGCTCTTCCCTTTCTGTCTTGCACAGGTGTACCGGCTCCTCCCCTTCAGTTTTGCACAGTTTTACCTGGCTCCTCCCCTTCAGCCTTGCACAGGTGTACCAGCTCCTCCCCTTCAGGCTTGTACAAGTGTACTGGCTCCTCCCCTTCAGTCTTGTACAGGTGTACTGGCTCCTCCCTTTCAGTCTTGCACAGGTGTACTTGCTCCTCCCATTTAGTCTTGCACAGGTGTGCCAGCTCCTCCCTTTCAGTCTTGCACAGGTGTACCGGCTCCTCCCCTTCAGTCTTGCACAGTTTTACCTGGCTCCTCCCCTTCAGCCTTGCACAGGTGTACCAGCTCCTCCCCTTCAGTCTTAAACAGGTGTACTGGCTCCTCCCCGTCATTATAGTACATGTGTACCGGCTCCTCCCCTGGACTGGAATGGCTTTCTCTGATGTCACCGCACACTGGGAGCTTCTCACAATGTGCATTAGAAGCTGCAGCCAGTCAGATAGAGCTCCGCCTCATTTCCTGGCTGGAGGATGTCCAGTATCATCTAGCACTTTCCTCTCCATCCTGACTTTCCCTGGCCCCACCCCTTTTATTGGATTTGACTTCTTTCATTCATGGAGGTTCCAAGCTTTCTAGGCAAAGGGCCATTTCACTGTCCTCCATACTTTAGGGGGACGGACATTGGCCAGCGGAACCAGAAAATGCCAGAGAATAAGTATGATTACATGACGCCTGAGGTCAGTGGGAGGAATAGTGCCCCATCATTGGTGTCAGTGGGAGGAATAGTGCCCCATCATTGGTGTCAGTGGAAGGAATGGTGCCCCATCATTGGTGTCAGTGGGAGGAATAGTGCCCCATCATTGGTGTCAGTGGGAGGAATAGTGCCCCATCATTGGTGTCAGTGGGAGGAATAGTGCCCCATCATTGGTGTCAGTGGGAGGAATAGTGCCCCATCATTGGTGTCAGTGGGAGGAATAGTGCTCCATCATTGGTGTCAGTGGGAGGAATAGTGCCCCATCATTGGTGTCAGTGGGAGGAATAGTGACCCATCGTTGGTGTCAGTGGGAGGAATAGTGTCCCATCATTAGTATCAGTGGGAGGAATAGTGCCCCATCGTTGGTGTCAGTGGCAGGAATAGTGCCCCATCGTTGGTGTCAGTGGGAGGAATAGTGTCCCATCGTTGGTGTCAATGGGAGGAATAGTGCCCCATCGTTGGTGTCAATGGGAGGAATAGTGCCCCATCGTTGGTGTCAGTGGGAGGAATAGTGCCCCATCGTTGGGGTCAGTGGGAGGAATAGTGCCCCATCGTTGGTGTCAGTGGGAGGAATAGTGTCCCATCATTGGTGTCAGTGGGAGGAATAGTGTCCCATCGTTGGTGTCAATGGGAGGAATAGTGCCCCATCGTTGGTGTCAGTGGGAGGAATAGTGCCCCATCGTTGGTGTCAGTGGGAGGAATAGTGCCCCATCGTTGGTGTCAGTGGGAGGAATAGTGCCCCATCGTTGGTGTCAGTGGGAGGAATAGTGCCCCATCGTTGGTGTCAGTGGGAGGAATAGTGCCCCATCGTTGGTGTCAGTGGGAGGAATAGTGCCCCATCGTTGGTGTCAGTGGGAGGAATAGTGCCCCATCGTTGGTGTCAGTGGGAGGAATAGTGCCCCATCGTTGGTGTCAGTGGGAGGAATAGTGCCCCATCGTTGGTGTCAGCGGGAGGAATAGTGCCCCATCGTTGGTGTCAGTGGGAGGAATAGTGCCCCATCATTGGTGTCAGCGGGAGGAATAGTGCCCCATCATTGGTGTCAGTGGGAGGAATAGTGCCCCATCATTGGTGTCAGTGGGAGGAATAGTGCCCCATCGTTGGTGTCAGTGGGAGGAATAGTGCCCCATCAATGGTGTCAATGGGAGGAATAGTGCCCCATAATTGGTGTCAGTGGGGGGAATAGTGCCCCATCATTGGTGTCAGTGGGAGGAATAGTGCCCCATCATTGGTGTCAGTGGGAGGAATAGTGCCCCATCGTTGGTGTCAGTGGGAGGAATAGTGCCCCATCATTGGTGTCAGTGGGAGGAATAGTGCCCCATCATTGGTGTCAGTGGGAGGAATAGTGCCCCATCATTGGTGTCAGTGGGAGGAATAGTGCCCCATCATTGGTGTCAGTGGGAGGAATAGTGCCCCATCATTGGTGTCAGTGGGAGGAATAGTGCCCCATCATTGGTGTCAGTGGGAGGAATAGTGCCCCATCATTGGTGTCAGTGGGAGGAATAGTGCCCCATCATTGGTGTCAGTGGGAGGAATAGTGCCCCATCATTGGTGTCAGTGGGAGGAATAGTGCCCCAATCATTGGTGTCAGTGGGAGGAATAGTGCCCCATCATTGGTGTCAGTGGGAGGAATAGGATACCCCTTTTCCCAGACAGTTGCCTCAGAGAATTATTTGTGCGTTTTTGTATATAACATTTGGGGCCATTTATTTCAGGATAGGGAGTTTAGGAAGAGGGGAGGAGCTACCAATATTGTCCAGTGATAGGTGTAGGCGGAGCTTCCATTTGGCTGACCGCCCCCGTCATACAGGAACCTTTAGATCCGACATAACAGTAATGACTGAGGGAAGAATGTTGGACGCTCGGACTCACCCTTTAATTTCCCCTCCCCCACTGAATCCAATGCTTTTTAACAAAATTACCAAATTTTGCCAAAAAGTCCAGATTTTTGCTGCGATTTTGATGAACTGCACGCTCCGGATTTGTGTCGTCCGCACAGAAGATGAACATTGCCAAGGACCTCGATGATAGAACGGCTGAAGCATTCGCCTCACGTGCGTTCCTGCCCCGGAGGCGGAGTCCCGATCCCTCGCACACTTCATTGAAGAGTCAACAATCTGTAACTCAGAAAACAAAGGGCGGCGGGCGGTGAGATTGGCGCGCTCGTCTCGGAGAGCTCGCACCTGCCAGGCCTAATTTGCCGATTCATTATCGGATGGTTTGCAGTAACGCTCGCGCCGCCGTGGAAGAATCCCATCCAGACAAACGAGGACCGCGTGCCGTTCTCTCCGCTTTAATGGACGCCGTAATTGCGTATTCACTCACCAAGAAAAAAAAAAAAAACACTCGCCGTCCCCCTGATTAAGAGCGCCAAAGTAACCGGTTATTATTTACAAAGACAAAAAAAAAAACCCTCGGCTCGCTGACGCCGTATAATTTCGGCTAATAAAGTGTTTGGCTCAGACGCGGGGGCTCATTAGCCGCGCCGCGATATCTGTAGAGGAGTGGATGGCGAATTCGTGAACAATGCGGGAAAAGAGCGCTACGGATCTTATTCTGGGATTTTTGTTAGGACGCCATTGTACTTCCTGCGCCGCCGCCGTTCCTCTGCTCTAATTTTGTGGCCTGTTTTGTCTTTTTCTTTCCAAACCGCGTCACGTAGCGCAACGCCAAAGACCTCAAGCCTGTGATGGCGAAGCATGGCGCCATGAACGCGGATGAGGTCACCACCGGCACGCTGGAAGGGAAAGGTGAACTCAGGGGCGGGCTGACCATTCGAGCACTTTTTTGGGTCGGGCACTGCCCGAGGGCCCCCAAGGGGTCAGAAGGGGGCCCCATGAGATGCCCCTGGTACCTTTCATAGGCTTTTTTGGGTGTGGTTTGAGTGTAGATGAGGACACAGGGGCCCCATGATCCCCTATATACCAAGGGCCCGGGGTCAGAAGGGGGCCCCATGAGATGCCCCTGGTACCTTTCATAGGCTTTTTTGGGTGTGGTTTGAGTGTAGATGAGGACACAGGGGCCCCATGATCCCCTATTGCCCAAGGGCCCAGGGTCAAAAGGGGGCCCCATGAGATGCCCCTGGTACCTTTCATAGGCTTTTTTGGGTGTGGTTTGAATGTAGATGAGGACACAGGGGCCCCATGATCCCCTATTGCCCAAGGGCCCGGGTCAGAAGGGGGCCCCATAAGATGCCCCTGGTACCTTTCATAGGCTTTTTTGGGTGTGGTTTGAGTGTAGACGAGGACACAGGGGCCCCATGATCCCCTATTGCCCGAGGGCCCGGGGTCAGAAAGGGGCCCCATGAGATGCCCCTGGTACCTTTCATAGGCTTTTTGGGTATGGTCTGAATGTGGACAAGGACACAGGAGCCCCATGGTCCCCTATTGACCAAGGGCCCGGGGTCAGTAGGGGGCCCCATGAGATGCCCCTGGTACCTTTCATAGGCTTTTTTGGGTGTGGTTTGAGTGTTGACGAGGACACAGGACACAGGGGCCCATAATCCCCTATTGCCCGAGGGCCTGGGGTCAGAAGGGGGCCCCATGAGATGCCCCTGGTACCTTTCATAGGCTTTTTTGGGTGTGGTTTGAGTGTGGACGAGGACACAGGGGCCCCATGATCCCCTATTGCCCGAGGGCCTGGGGTCAGAAGGGGCCCCATGAGATGCCCCTGGTACCTTTCATAGGCTTTTTTGGGTGTGGTTTGAGTGTGGACGAGGACACAGGGGCCCCATGATCCCCTATTACCCGAGGGCCCCATGAGTTGTCAGTCTGCCCCTGGGTGAACTGCAAGAACAACAATTCACCCACCGAAGACCGAAACCTTGACGCTGTAGTGCACATCGAACACAAGGACCGCCGGCTGAATCTGGCCCTCCAGCTGCGGCGTATTTACCACGAGGCAAACAAGGCATTTGCCTCGGGCAGCAATATCGGGGGGGGGCGCGGCTTCACCCCCAAGAAGAAGGGACCTCGTGAGGCACTGCTGAGGAGCTGAGGAAGGATGATGGGATGGTTGGCTGCTCTTCTGTGATTCTGGAGAGAATTGAGAGGTGAAGGCTTTTGGATGGGGGGTTTGTTGGTTGATTCGGGGGGGGGGGGGGGGGGGCATACCGCCAAAGACCTCCAAGACACTGTAGTGTACATTGAACACAAGGCCCGCCCAACCAAAACTGGCCCTCCATATTAACCCGGCATTTGCCTCGGGCGTCAATTTTCAAGTGGGTCAGCCCCAGAAGGGACCTGGTGAGGCACTGCCAAGGATCTGCGGAAGGTGAGGGGATGGCCGGCTCCTCTTCTGGAATTCTGGAGAGATAATGTTAGTAAGTTGAGAGGTGAAGGCTGGAGGGGGGGGGGGGGTTGGTTGATTCGGGGGGGGGGGGGGCACACCGCCAAAGACCTCAAGGCTGTGATGGTGAAGCGTGGCGCCATGCACACGGGTGAGGTCACCACCGCCACACTGGTAGGTAAAGGTGAACTGCAACATCAACGATTCACCCACCGAAGAACGACACCTTGACCCTGTAGTGCACATCGAACACAAGGGCCACCAGCCAAAACTGGCCCTCCAGCTGCGGCATATTAACCCGAGGCAAACACGGCCCCAGGAGAAGGGACCCGCTGAGGCAGTGCCGAGGATCCAAGGATGGGGAGAGGATGCTGGCGGCTCTTCTGTAATTCTGGAGACATGAGGTTAGTGAATCGAGAGGTGGAGGCTGGGGGGGGGGGGGGGGTTAGTTGATTGCAGCTGTTGGTGGTGGAAGAGGGTGGTGCCAGGAGGGGGGGGGGGGGGGGGGAGTTCAGGGGTTGGTTGGTTGTGGCGGTCAGTGGTGGCGCCAGGGGGGGGGGGTAAAGTATGATGGTCCTGTGTTGT